GCACTCATATTTCTTCTCATGATGCATATGGCCATGAATATGGGCGTTCTCTATGGGGAAGTACAATGGAATACTAGTACAAACATTTGATAAGCGTCTTTTTAAGAAGATTGAGACTGGTGGCTAGGCTTTTTCCTTTCTTCTTTTGACAAAGTAAAATATATATAAACCTCATCTGTTTTCTTCTTATGACGTTCAACATTTATCTTTTGCACATGAACAAATAAAAAATGCACTTGAATCTAGGTACACTGTGTCCTGGACATTTTGTCTTTTAAACTAAACTGCTCTCTGAAGGGTGATGAGTTTTAGGATCGGTGGTTACCACAACATAAATAACTAGGTTACTGATGGAGTTTAGTTCTGTCTGTAGCACCAACATGTCTCTAGACAATTGCAGCGAATGTTCAAACAGATGCATCCATCCACTAAGGGTCTGGCTTTCCAATCACCTCTATATATGGAATATGAAATATCTGTCCTTGTACCTCCAAACCCCTCAGGAACATATTATCCCGGTGGCTCCATCCTGCCTCTACAGCCTCCAGATGACCATGTTGTGAGTGCCTTCCGTGTTTCCTTTCTCAGGCTGCCTCATGGCGCCCTGCCGGTGCCGTGGCCCTGGCATGTGTATTGATTGCTGTCAGGTGTTTGCTGTAGGAAGTCATTGAATAGCAAAACCAATTAGGACCATTTTGCACAGCAATGAGAATTAGTGTGCAGGAGCTAGTTGAAGAGAAGGTAACTTAAGGAATAGCAACTTGTTTTGGGATCCAAGCATCAGGTTAATGAGATTAAAATAATTGCTGGTGAATTAATCTTTAGCAAGTAGCTACATTATAAAACTGTATTAGTAACCTGTACTTACTTAGCTAATGGCAGTGTATTTCTGTACACTTTCAGGACTCTATTTTAGTTGATTATAGATAATTTTCTAAGCATCTTTTAAGAGAACCGGAGATAGTTAAGCACATCAAGTAATGGAAAGCTTTCTAAGATGTGATTCTTACTTTAAGAAGATAATACCTCCAACAGGGATATGACGGTTCTTTATACATGGTGCTAATCATTACTATTACTACCACCACCATTGCTACCACAATTATCATCACCATAGTTGCTGCCATTCTCTCATTCAAGCACTCATTCGTTCATTCATTTTGTGTTATCTGCTATCTACCCTGTATGTGCCAAACACTTCAAAGTGTGAAGAATATAGCAGAGAGCAAGATGAGCGAGGTATCTGACGTTATAAAGCTTCCCTTCTGGAAAACCATGGCAGATAAAAGAACAAATAGCTTGACATATATTGTTATATACATGAGTAAATGATACGCCCCCCCCCCCCCCATGATAGCTTTATGAAGAAAACTTCAGCTAAGTAAGGGGAATGGAAGGGAAATGGACTGTGCTTTTAGGGAAGCTGGTTGGGCAAGGCTTCTGAGAAGGGAGCATTTGAGAGCAGACCTGAGTGAGTGTGGTCTGCCAGTGTGTGTGGGAGGACAGTCCCAAGCCGTTCACGTAGTGTGAGCTTCCTTATTGCACACTGAAGTAATACGAGTTTTTAAAACGTATGTATTGCCGAAACCGGTTTGGCTCAGTGGATAGAGCGTCGGCCTGCAGACTGAAGGGTCCTGGGTTCGATTCTGGTCAAGGGCATGTACCTTGGCTGCGGTCACATCCCCAGTGGGGGCTGTGCAGGAGGCAGCTGATCAATGACTCTCTCTCATCGATGTTTCTAACTATCTCTCTCCCTTCCTATCTGTAAAAAATCAATAAAATATATTTAAAAAACATATGTATCAATCCTTGCGAGATTCTAAAATAATCATTATTATTACAGTTTACAGTTTTTTTAAAAAAAATCTGAGGCTCAAAATATTTACAAAGCATATTTGTAATCTTATTGCTGTTAAGTAGTAGATAAAATCTATTTATGCAATGCATTTTAAAACATGTTTGTTTTTTTCAGAGGAAGGAAAATTATATCTGGCTTTCTGAAACTCCTGAAAGAAGACAGTTGAGCAGGGGTGTTGAATGGTTGTCTGTAAGCTGGTTTACATGGAAAGGGGTTGGAGGAAGGAAAATTAGGTAACGGGACATATGGTGGAATGGAAAAGACAGAATTCCAGTCCGTTCACTCAGTCTGCAGTCCCCAAACTTAATAAACTGCACACTTGCACAAGCCTTGGGCACTGATGGGTCATTCCAGAGGAAGCACATATACTTATATGTGTGTTTTCAGAAGAAAAAAAAATTATCATTCAAGTATGTTTTATCATTTGAAAGTGGTATATTTTATCAATTTGCTATGACTGGGGAAACTTAAATTGATTTGAAAGCATTCCAGAATTCAGGAAAGCTTTTATATAATTGTGGGTTTTCTTACAGAAAAAGTATTAAAGCACAACAATTATTATGTTGGTGTACAAATCATTCCTTGATTCATTGATTTTTTTTATTGACTCATGAATTTTTCCTAGAAATATTTACTGTTAGAGCAGCATTTGGTAGTGGTTAAGAATGTCCTCTGAAGTTAGATTTAAGGCCCAGACTTCATGGAGTGGGCCCTGAGATCCCTCACTTATTAATAAAAAGTGGATTTATTTTTTAATAAATTCTCTCTAAATCCCATTTTTTTTCATCTGTAAATCTGTCAAATAATAGTAATTTTACATTATCTTCATGAGGATTATGTGAGATTATGAATATAAAGTTCTCGGTATAATAACAAACACATAGTAAGATTCCTAAGCTATTATTATTGCTTTAGACAATGTCTGGTACACAGCACATGGTAATTACATAATAATCTGAAGTAATTTCTCCAATAATTTGCTTTAAATTCAAGTAAAAGTGAATGAAGATCAGAATAAGTTTACTTGAATTCATATTTACTCTTGATTCTTTTACTGGACTGAGAAGTCAGTTTCACTTTCTTAATCTTATTCTCTTTTTCTTTTTCTTACACTATGAAGCAGTAGTACTGGGCTCACCTCTTTTTGAGTCAACAAATACAAATGTGTTTCAATCTGTGACCCAGACTCCCACTTTCTATGTTTGCTGCCCTTCTTTCATTTTCTCTTAGCTCCTGAGATGAGCGTTTCTGGTCATCCCAGAGACAATTTGATTTACAGCAGTGATCTCTTCACCTGTTGATGACTTCTGAGTAGTCTTGAAGTGGTGCCTTTACATAGAGAATAGCTGATCATCTCACCATGCAGATTCTAACAAAAATAAACAACAACAACCACCACAACTGGAAAGCTGCAGTAATACTGCATCCAGAAAATGGTTGATGATCTTAATGCAACTATTACTTGTCTTGATTTGTTACTCTGACTATTTGAAGACCCACTGCCTTGATTTATGTGGGAAATGTGAATGGAAATTCTAACCAAAATGCATGAGGTATACAGAGGTTGAATAACAAGCATTAATAAGCATGAAAAAGAGATGTGGGTCCAGTCACTTAAAAAAAAAGTGGGATTGCCATCTGTTGCATTTGGTTCATGGCCTCAAAGACAAACTTAAAGTGATTGATCTCAGATGGTGTAACACAAACTAGAACAAAATACCCGGTTTCTTCTTGATTAATTATTTATTTTTATGTATTTTTAGAGAGCGAGAAAGGGAGGACAGAGAGAAAGAAACATTGATATGTGAGAGAAACATCTATTGGTTGCCTCACATATACATCCAGACTGGAAACTGAACCCACATCCTAATTATATGCCCTGCCCAGGAATTGAACCTGCAGCCTAGCTCTGTGCCCTGACCAGGGATCGAACTTGCGACCCTTTGGTGCACGGGATGATGCTCCAATCAACTGAGCCACATAGGCCAGGGCTTCTTAAGTTTATATAGAGCCTAGTTCAAATCCAAAGCATTTAAGGGGGGGAAAAATGAATAACAACTTCACTATATGAAAATTGGCTTCAATGCTTTTTAATCTGTGAGTCACAGGAACGCATTTATAGTTTATTAAATGTTTTCTATACCATTTATCTCTGTTTAAATCAATGCTCCTCTGTAGCTTCTTGGGTGATTTGTGATCACATAGTGAACTTCATATTTCATTTCTTTGTCTCCAAATCACTTAAATACTTCTGAATAAAGAAGGTTCTCTTGGGGAAGGAGAAATTGGGGTTGAGGGATGGGGCAGGAAGAACCAGGAGGCTCGGTGTTTCATAAACTATATTGCAAAGAAAATCTGGCCCTCATTGCAAACCAGTGTAGTCTGTTCTGCCCTTTGGTGAATGGTGCTTGTGCTTTTCTAATCAAGAGAGTAGAACACAGAACATGTGAAATAAAGAGCTTTCCTCTGTGCCTTGTGAGAGATGCTCAAGTTCATCCTTCCCCATCAGTATCACCTCCTTGGCAGTATCATGCATGCTGCCCAGGGAGAGGATGCTGTTAACCATTGATAGAGAAGCACTCATTTAATTTATTTCCTGCACCCTGCTGCTTTCATGAGTGGTGTGGGAACTGTTTTAAAAGACCTGTTGTGTTGACAACTGTGCAGGGCTCTGCAGCGAGCGGCATTTTGAATGATTTCCCCATCTCTCATCTGGTACCTCTCATCTAGTTAAAATCGTAGTCTGCAGTGCTTTGAGAATGATTGTATTTAAATCTTCATTGTAAGTTCCTTTGTTGCAAGAAAAAAAAAAGTAAATGGGAACACTTTATTTCCATAATTATTTTGCAGAGTATTTTGGTTATTATCCTAGTTGTTTATAGTCCGTGCATTTAAAATCACCTGCATTTTGTACAATAGGCATAAAGCTCTCCTGGTTTAGCTCATAGAGAAATAAGAATGCCCCCTGCAAAGATAGCCATTTATAATAAACACACCTTAGAATAAATAGATGAGGTACCAAAGAGGAAAGGAATTCTAATCAGCATTCACACTGTGATTGTGCCATGCACCAAATCAGGTTTTTATGAATGCATTTCTCTTGGAGCATGTATAATTATGAAACTTTCTTTTATCTCGGTAGGAGCTGGGAAGTAACAGCCCTCCACAGAGAAACTGGAAGGGGATTGCTATTGCCCTGCTGGTGATTTTAGTTGTATGCTCACTCATCACTATGTCAGTCATCCTCTTAACCCCAGGTAATCTGTCTTTATTCCTCTCTTATGACAGTATTGTGGATGATAATTTCACATTTAAATGCCTTAAGAGGGTAGCCGTGTGTGGTATCTTAGGGTATATTAGTGTTGATTGGGATAAAGAAAAGAATGTGCAACCAAATATTTTGCAAATAGCACAGTGATTTTGTTTAAATATCATGCAAGATATTCTGGGGAAGCTGGAATGTGAACTATATACATGGAGAATGGCAAGGAGATCTTTGGACTCCATTGCTACTTAGAGACTTATGTTTGCTAGTTTAGGAAATTTGGGGGACACTGGACTTTTATTGTGAGTTGGAGATGAGAGACTGGAGTCTGAAAGTTTCCATATGTGGTTAATAGCCCAACTGTGGTAACAATGGTAAGGGAGGCCTTGAGAGACAAAGAGGATCAGATCAAAAGACAATGAGCTTAATCTCTAAATGCTCTTTTTCTCCCTTTTCCTATACATTTCATAGTCTAAGTCTCTCTGTCTAAAGAACCACTCCAGATTTCCCTTGCAATGATCTTTGGATTGTGTCCTTTCCTTTGCAATGTTTAACATACATGTGTACATTTTCAGAAGGTTTAATTCTTCTTTGGGGATTATTTCAGTACACAGAAGTTTTACTACTCTTTAGTAGGTGCTCATATGGATAGCAGAGAAAAGCTGCTCACTTTTTAAAAAATATATATTTTATTTTTTATTTCAGAGTAGAAGGGAGAGGAGGAAAGAGATAGAAACATCAATGATGAGAGAGAATCACTGATTGGCTGCCTTCTGCATGCCCTACAGTGGGGATCAACCCCACAATCTAGGCATGTGACCTGACCAGGAATCAAACTGTGACTTCCTAGTTTATAGGTCAGTGCTCAACCACTAAGACATGCCAGCCAGGCAAGACAGCTCAATTTTTAAAATTATCAAACTGTCTTCCAGAAACAGATAAATTTGGCATACTTCTACAACCCATCCAGTAGTTCCTCAAAGCCTGGACACCATACAGAACACAGAATTATAAAACATGGTCATTTCCAGTATAGAATTGAACTAGTTCAAAAGTCAACTGGTATTATAAAGTTGTAGCATGCAGTTGAATGTTGTGTTGCTGTTCTGTTATGTCATTATGTATTTCCTACCCAAGCTTTGTTGCTTGAGAGTTCATTAAACACATTGCCTTATGTAAAAAATATGATTAAAATATATATTTCTTTCAGAGTTGTTTAGTCAACAATTATGATGGCTAATTATACAAACAGCAATAGCTATTGTTTGAATGTGGTACTTTATGAAATATATCTTATTTATAAAAAATATAGACTTGAAATGTATAACTCCTCAAAAAATACTTTGTAGTTCTTAATTAACATATGAAGAGATTGAGAAATTAAGAGAATCAGGAAGAAGAAAAAGAAAGACAAATAACTTTAAAAGAGAAAGGAAACATTTCTTGGTAAAAGCTGTCTCATCCAGCGTTCTCTTTAGGAACTGTGTCTTAATTGCCTTGTGGGTACAGCTGCAGTTCAGTGTGATTGAGCAATGGCTCCAAGTTGCTTCAGAATGCCAAGAATTTTTGTTAATGGAAGACGAGCTTACATTCAGAAAAGTTTCACTTAAACATAAGACTTTTAGCACAATTATTTTTTAAAAAAAATGAGTCAGATAAACGACCTCCTACTGGTAACTTAACTGGAGGGGGAAATGTGTGCCATGGTACTTGTGTGTTTCCTTCCATCCTCATTCTAGTATCTTTCCTGGTGGGTGATTCTCTTTCTGCCATTTTTTTCGTTACTCAGGCCATACTGATACTTCGGGTCCTTGAGTGTTGGTATAAAAAAAGACTTTATAGAATGTGCCATTCACCGAATTAGACTTTCTCTATTCAACCCTTTTCAAGATGTCTCAATATAAAAGCACAGTAGAGTTGCAGTCATTTTGCCATATACTTATTCATTTATTAAAGGGAAGGCTTTGGCAAGACACATACTGTAGTTTGAGTTCTGGATCTGTGTTTTACTAGTAGTTTTGGGAACCTGGCTGGTTATTTGACCTTGTTCCTTATTTCATTCATCTATATTATGGGTATAACATGTAATGCCAAGTTTACAGTATTATTATGAGGATTAAATGACCATATACTTAAAGCGTTTAGCATAGTTTCTAGCACTGCTATTGTTATTCCTCTTATGATTACTATTATTCAGTAATTATTGATCACTTGACACAATACCAAACACTATGTTACATGAGAGAGATTTCCAAATGAAAGTATAAAATCTCCAGGAGATATAGACCTGTGACTTCCATGTTAAACTATGACAGATAAAAATCTGGAGTCAGTTTTCAGTGGTCTGTTTGTCCATTCATTTATTCCTGGTAATTAAGGAGTTCTTACAACATTCTAGGTGCTCTGGTAGTTAGCTGATCTACCCTTGCATTATATCTATCACCTTCTATTCTTCTCTTTCTCAATTACACAAAAACTTAGCAACCCACACATCCCCTACCTAAGGACTTAATTTCATAGGAGGTTAATCATATAAATGGAAGTGGAAATTATTATTTAGACTTATGGTTTACTAAGTGCACTTCATATACCACATGTCCAATTGTCTTTAGGCTTCACTATTAATTTTGGCAGATATATTATAAAATAAAAATAGAAGTCAGTATGCTAGGGTGGGAAAGGTATTGCGGTAAAGATCAGACTACTTGTGTTCTACACTCTGTGTTTGTAAACTCAATGTCTGTGGGATCCGTAAGATTACAAAATTGAAGTGGATTGGTGCAATGACAGTGGGTAGGGATGTGCTTGAGTTATAAACAAGCATAAATATTAGCCTAGTTACATGGCCTTCATGAAGGGCTCAAACCAAACATATCAGTGAAATAAAAGGCCAGAAACCTAAGACTGGAGTCAGAAGTCTGGAATCACTCTTAGGAGTTATCAAATTAGGGAGGGGGGGGGGGAAATCCAAGCTTGTCTAACCTCCAGTTCTAAGGACTAGCATGTGCATCAAGACCATTATCGTGAACTTTTGAATTGGCACATGTGCTTGTGCTTGTCTGTGCACAGACTCTAGTACTCTTATTGCACCAAAGTCTTCCTCTTCTTACCATCTGGGTTGAAGCTCCTCACCTGCACTGGAACAGATCTATCAGGGCAAACATCCCACAGGAAGATGTAGTACAACACCTCCCTCCCACTCTTCATGGACACTTTGCTCACCAATATATCCCCAAGGTACAGCTTTCTAGGTAAAACGGCTGGAAACTTTCAACCAGGAAGGGATATTCATATCGGGAGAGGAAACTTCTGGTCCTGAAATTATTCAGCAAGGTAAAAAGATAACTAGACCCTAGTACAAAGGGATGACTCAAGAACAATCCTTCCAGTTAGGATAGAGGTCAGAAATTTTTATGTATTTCATAGCTATATGAGCTTGGACAAATCTGACATCTCCTTTAAGCTCAAGTTTTTTGTTTGTTATTTTGTTGAAGAAAAGGGCATCTTTTGTTTGTGGTAATGGGAAGATCTTTTAATGTTTAATACAACATCTATGATTTAATCCATATATAAAAATCATAAAACCCATCATAAACCAAATGACCGGCCAGTAGCTATGACATTCACTGACCACCAGGGAGCAGACGCTCAATGCAGGAGCTGCCCCCTGGTGATCAGTGTGCTCCCACAGCTGGAGCGCTGCTCAGCTGACAGACAGGTGCCAGAAGCCTGGCTCATCTCTGGCTAGCAGAGCTGCCTGTGGACACTCCCCCTGCATGCCCAAGTGGGGGTGCGTGTAGCAGGTACTGGATGAGTGGGAGCTGCACAGCACCCAGCTCAGGCTCAGTCTCCTCTGGCCGCCTGCTACTTCGTGTTGTGTGGGATGGATGCGGACAGCAGGCCCGACGAGCTGGTGGGTAAGGCCCAGCTGTGACAGCATAGAGGTCTACTGACCCCCACAGGCCAGGCTGAGGGACCCAACCGGTGCATGAATCAGTGCACCAGGCTAGTAGTATAATAATGACAACAATAATAGTAACTTGTTTGATAACAGATATTATAGTAGATTGAACCTGGTAAGTTCTTTCACTAAGCCTTTTCTGTCTTGAAAATATATTTAGTGGTTTTGAGGGGGATTGGGGAACACATACAAAATGTTTTCTAGTCTAAATAGGATTTAGAAACTGTTTTGCTCAAAATAGCATCACATTTTTTCAGGTAAGTGCTAAGGAATGCAAGCCTATAACCAAAGAAACACATGTTCATTGTAATTTTGGTTTGATTGCAAATTTTATGACAGAAGTAATTTGACACAGGTGTCTTATTTTCCAAATTGTCAACAAATTCTCTGCCTTGTGAAGAGAAGTCCTAATTATTTTTGAAGAGTGGTTAACCATTCATGTATTTCTTTAACAAGTGATTATTTCTGAGAGGAACAAATTATTCAGTCCAATTTTTTTCTGATTAAAAACAGATTTTGCTGAATGTGTTGATCAAGCACACTTTTTTGTTGTTGTACTGAGTTCACTTAAAGAAAAAAAAGGAGTACTTGCATTTATTTTCATAAGATAGTCCTATGAGATTAGACACTATACTCTATACATGTGTGAGTGTGTGTTCATGCTGAAAGTTGTGGAAAACAGTCTTACATAGCTATGCATTTATTTTGCAGTAACATACTCATTTAATATGTAGAATGAGAATGAACATTGTCAGGAAACAGTTCATGCACCATAGGTACCTATTTGGAGCTCTTTGAGAAGAGAGATGCCTGTTTTATGAGTTACAAAGTGTTTGGTAGAGGCTATTGATCAAGGTCTTCAGTCCCTTGCCACCTGTGGGCTGTGTATATTCCCCCAATTCTTCAGCAACAGTGACCTGTTGCCCTTGGATTGATGTGTGTAATCAGTCAGTGTCGAAAGAGGGTCACTAGGTTAATTTACTAGCATAGCTGACTAAAGACAAAGTTGTAAAGCAGTGAAATCGTGTCTT